TCATGAAGCTTGTTGTACTGCGCTGAATTTAATTCAATCGTCTTAAAAATGTTTAAGTTTCAGTGAACTTCTGCACCTATGCGAAGACCTTAAACAACTTAATAACGTCTCTGAAGATATCTGAAAATCTTGGAACTGCTTTAAATTCCCCACTAATTCTCTGAAACTAATTTTCGAAGCTTACTTAACTTCATTCAAATGCTCCCGCCTTTTGCTAGTGTTCATAAAATTTCCGGAAGTTCGCGGATCTCATCTTAAGCTCCATAGATTTCTTTGAAGTAATGTTTCTGAAGACCACTGTCCTTCTGTGAAGTTTCCGAAGTTTTTCTAAATTTCTGGAACTTTTGTGCTCCCGCAGTTTTCATAAAATTAGATCGAAATAATTAATATAGTTCTATGATTTTCACTGAAGTTCTCAAGATATGTCTGAAGTTCATAAAACATCCCTTACATTATCGACACTAATTTAAAACTTCTTCAATAGTCTAGACTTTCCTGGTGTCTAAACGATTGCTGAATTTCTTTAAAGTTCTCTAGACTGCCCTGAATTTATCAGTATTTTTTAAGAACCCGCAACTTAACTGAAATTAATTAATTTTCCTTAAGTATTATAACTATTATAAACACTCGCTTATTTTCCCGGAACTTATCCATGCTTACCTGAAGTTCTCTAAATTTGTTTAATAATCCAGCAAATTTTCTGATATATATATATATTCGTCATTCCCTGACGCTTCTGACGTTTTAGGATTCTCGGAATACTCTATAAATTCCACGGAACTCCTTGTAAGTCACTGCCAATTTGTTTGAGTTAATGGGATTATTCTGAAGCTATCTGATCGTCCTCGAAGTACTCGGAACTTCGCTCAATATCATTAAACTATCTAAAAATATCTAAATCTAGTTCTCTGAAATTTCTTGAAGATATCGTTGCTTGCTAAAAGTTCTCGCTTTTTTTTATTAATAGAACTTCGTTGATGTTCTCTAATCAACTTAGCTAAATGTTCGCATTTTTTTTTTAAGTTTTTGAAATCTCCATGATATAACAACCTTAAAATACTCTCACGTTTTCCGGATGTTCATAAAGTTTCCAGGAATTCTCTCGGAGCTTTGCTGAAGTTTTCGAAAATTCACTGAGTTTCTGGAAACTTCTTTAAGGTTTCTTATATTTCCTTGAAATTATTTGAATTGTCCTTTAATTCTCTGACCTGTCTTGATGTTCTCGAAGTTTTCATAAAGCTCTTAGTTCTATTGAAGATCTCGGTTCTGCTCGGAAATAAATAGAATTCCCTTAAAACCCTTTAAATTTCCTTGAAATTCTCTGGAATCGTGCAAAGTTTCTGAAACATTTCTGAAGTTTTTATAAATGTCTCTAAATGTCTCTGGACTTCCCTGAAATTCACGGAACATCTGAAGGGTTATCGATTTTTTTTTCAGCACATCGTGGAACTATCCTGATTTTTTTTTCTAAATTTACGATTATAGATTTTTAAACTGCTACAAAAGTCTGGACTATAGTTACGGGAACTGCTCTTAAGAGCTGAATTCCCTAAAGATCTCTAGATCTAGCTTTTCTGAGGTGCTTAGAACTTCATAAAAATTTGCACAATACCCCTCAAGTTTTCTAAATTTCTCAAGTTTGCTTGACACCTGTGAAGTTCTCTGAAATTCTAGGAACTTCATAAAAGTAAGTTTCCCACAGTTTCAGCTTGTTAACTTCCCTTATGTTCCTGCAGTTTGTTTATAGAGCTTAACTGAAACTCTCAGCATATCCTTTCATTCCTCAGAACTTCTCCAAAGTTCCTAAAATTGTTGTAAAGTTAATGGGACTGCATTGAAGATCTTTAATCTTTCATAAAGTTAATTATGAACTTAAAATAAATCATTTGTTTTTTTACTTAATTCTGACACTTTGAATCTTTTCAATATCTTGAACTTGTACATGGAATACGCAACTTCAAGACATTGAATATTTTTAGATCTTGGACTTACTTGTAAAACCCAGATAATTTTATCCAGAAAAATGAGTAGACATCCTGTATATGGAGAAACACGATTAAATGTCACAACGCAAAGAATAATCAATCTTGAAATAAATCCACGCTAAAAAAGTTGAAAATAGTGACTTCTTACAAGAAAAAGTGACTTTAGTGACTTGGCCTTAAAAAAAGAGACTTTTTAGTGACTGACTTGAAAAAAGTGACCAAGTCACTAAAAAGTGACTCGCTGCCAGCCCTGTAACTAACCACAGCGATCATCTTTGGAGTTCGCGAGATTTACATGGAATTCTCATCAGAGCTCTCTTAAAAAATGTCAGAACTAGTTTTGAATTATTATTAGAATTGGACCTAGAAGCTTCATCCAATCATCATAGAATCCTCTCAATTATATTGAAATTATTTCCACAATTGTTTCGGAGCTGAATTTTGCATCTTTAATAATTTAAACAATAATCAAAAGCAACGCTTGTATCGTCTTAGGACTGGGTTTTTCACCTCCGCTTAAGCCTCCAATCAGGTTTAACTATATGGATAAACCTGGTTTAAGATTTCAGCGGAGGCGAAGAAATCGGTCCTCAGAGCACTTAATTTTACATGAGACTTTCGTAGTCTGTACTTTGGTATTCTTCACTGAAATGTCTTGGTGTCATTCCCATAATTCATTTTCACTCTATTTTAGTTGTGAAAAAGTTACTTTAGTGACTATTTTTAAGGAAATAGTGGCTTTAGCGACTTTTTGGTGCGAAAAGTGACAAAGTCACTAAAAAGTGACCTACTACCAGCCCTGCTTAAGGTGACAGTTACCTACACGGTAAGAAAAAAGTACCCACTTCTACCTACACGGTTAGAAAAAAGTACCCAAAATTAAGTTCTTTTCACTCATCTCGGCACTATAGTGCAGGAGCCCAAAAGTAGGTAAAGCGGGTCAAAGTAATTTTCATTTACTTATGTGCAGTTCGTATGGAATTTTCCACTGGCTTTTTAACCAAAAATATGTTAGTTGTACCCAACAGTAGGTAAATATGATTATACTCAACGTTGGGTTCCCACACTTTACTACCCCTGTTGGGTGGTTTTGCTCCTCCGTTTTTGACAACATTAGAAGGAGAAAAGGAGACAAACTAGTCAAAAATAGGTAAAAGTAAACTTTCCGTTGGGTACTTTTTTCTTACCGTGTACCTTTGACTAGTTTGTCTCCTTTTCTACTTCTAATGTTGTCAAAAACGGAAGAGCAAAACCACCCAACAGGGGTAGTAAAGTGTGGGAACCCAACGTTGAGCATAATCATATTTACCTACTTTTGGGTACAACTAACTTACTTTTGGTTAGAAAGCTAGTGGAAAATTCCATACGAATTACACACAATAAATGAAAACTACTTTGACCGCTTTATCTACTTTTGGGTTCCTGCACTTTAGTGCCGAGATTAGTGAAAAAAACTTACTTTTGGGTACTTTTTTATTACCGTGTAGTGACTGAATAAAAATTTCAAAAATGGATTGCAAAAGTGTCTGTCGGTTTAACGGCGCCGGTGGTGTAGTGGTAAGCGTGATTACCTCTCACCCCAGCAGGCCTGGGTTCAATCCTAGTCGGCGCCGCCGGGATGTTCTGAGGCATAACATCTCTGATCACGCCTTCCTTCGGATGGGAAGTAAAGCCGTTGGTCCCCGGTTCATGAGTTGATGGGTCGATAAGTAGGATCCAGTTGTGGGAGCTGCCTTCCTGGCACGTCGGTAGCATTGGTGCTCAGCACGGAAAACAAGATCGACGAAAAAAAAAACAAACCAAAAAGGTGTCTGTCGGTTTGTGCGAAATAATAAAAAGAAAACATCGGCGAAAGCTTTTTTGCACGATCTGAAGTGCTGCCATTTTTGAAATGCACTGTCACCTTAAATTTTATTAACAAAATTCGATAGGTACAACAAAAATGTTAAGCTTCCAATCCGGTTTCCGGATATGTTCCGGTTTTCCCGGTTCAGTCTTTGGGTGAACCTATTTTCTGTTCAATTAATGCTTTGCAAACCTCGTTTCGATGAGATAATCTTTTCTATGGAGTGATATTCATAAGTCTTTCGCTGATTAATGTGGAAGGGTATTTGTAAGCTTGAATTTACAACACCGGCTTCTAAGCTTTGGCTTCTGCAAAAGCCGCCAACAAAGTAGAACGCTGCTTTCAAAACAACATACTCTCAAGTCTATATCATGCTGAACATTGCATTAGATCCTGAAGAACATTGTTCGATTCCCTTCGACGACTTTCTCATTCGTTAATAACTTGTGTCGCTAGATAAAAGATTCTTAAGACACCTGGGAATATGGCCGTAGCGATACAAAGAGAATGTCGACGAAGATAATCTGTCAATGTTACTTAGGACCTAATGCAATGTTCAGCTTGATATCCGTACGACCGAAACGGTTACGGAAGGTATGCTAAATACCATCACTTCGTGGTCTTCTTCGTTCTCCCTTCTGGACTAATTATCTAATTACTTGTTGCCCAGTTTATTGGCACCAGCAGTTTCTATTTTACATAAACACAGGATCCAAAGCAGACTGATGCCACTCGCCTTATTGGGGCGGACATGCCCCAACCCTACTTGGTTCAACCTTTCGGAGCAAAAGGATCTTCCAAACAGTTATATTTTCACCGATATATATATTATTCTTTTGCTCTGAGTAGTGCGGTACGTCGTCGCCGTCGTAACATGGTTTATTGATTATTTTTACGTCTATTTATAATCCTCGCTCGGGTCTTTTGCACATTCGAAGCATTCCGATGTGTGCTACTTTTTTTTGCGCGGTTCTTCCCTTTTTTAGCGATTGTGTCGATCCTTTCTCGATTCGAACGTCCATAAAAGCATAACAGTCACATCTTTGCTTGATTTCCTATTCCAATGGGACTGTTATGCGTTTATGGGTAGTATGCACTACGATAGCAATTTTTTCAAAAGGGATTTTGAATTTATGATTTAAGCTACATGGGTCGGAGGGTATACTCACTTTTTGGAAGACATTTCTCGTTGGTTGGTCACTTCCGGTATTCACCGCTGATAAAAAAAACAATTCTCGACTGCTCACTGCCTGCCTGCACAGCGGCCGCCTCCTATCGCCTGAGTTGATTCACTGTTTCGTTTCGACGTATTTTTTTTTCTAGAGCACTTGCGTATTTTTTGTGTTGTTATTATTTTCCGTATTTACATGCACGATATAAAAAAAAAACAATTACATCCACACGGGAAAAAAAAATCCTATATTCCTATTTTTCGTTGGTGGAATTCTCCCGTCAAGCAAACATAATAATAATCACACCATCGCTCCCAGCATAGAATACAGAGACTGACTGCGGGAAAGAGGAAACACATAAAAATTTAATGCACCACTACCGACAGAGTTCACAACTTCTCGTCTTTAAACTACACAACACACTGGCTGCTGCTGCTGCTGCGTTGCACTCTGCGTCCGAATCAATGAATGAATGAATGGCAGGAAAAATGTTCCTACCTTCCTTCCTAGATCATGGATGAGGGCAAGATGACTACCGAAAAAAATAAATATATTTCTATTAAAGCTTCACTCCGTTCGTTCTTCACTAACCACCACCGTGTTCTTCGCGCATTTGTCAGACGTTCCGGCTTCAAGGCCAATTTGAATAAATTATGGAAAACAAACACTAGCAGCGCACCACTGATGAAAATAATAATAGCACACGATGAGCTTGTAGATCTGACGATGACGGAAATATCGAAGAGCCGCACTGTGCCTGGCTGTACTGAATTGTGTGACTCGGATAATTCGGGAATTCACCTTGACCACCACGGCTCTGCTAGACACACTGATAATTAGCTGGAAAATAATCGTCCCTCTTGTTGTTAGCGAGACATTGTGGATTCGGTGACAGCGTAGATACCACACTATGTAGTTCAGTCTTCCTCCTACTACTCTATGGAATCAGGCAGACCGTCTACACACGCAGTCCGACTCACTTCAGTTCAGTTTTCGCACAAAAGGAGAATAGGCGGCAACAGCAGAGGAACAGAAAGCCGGAGAGAGCAGAAATTATATGTATGCGCTCTGTGGTTGTGCCTACATGTAGAACATACGGCCGGTGGGGGTGGATGGACCGATAGTTGACAGTTTTGATGTTCAGGATTAAAATGCAAATTGAAACAGGTTAAATTTTTGGTCACTTGAAAAACACATTTCCGATCAAACGCCTGGAAGGTCAAGTGATATATAGGGAAAAGTGGCGCTTCAAAATCAGCTACGTATCAGAACGTATTTTAAAAAAAATCTGTTAGCGTGACCAGTGAATTTTCAATTTGAAATTCCCGGATTTTTCCCGGTTTTCCCGGTTTACATCTTAAAAATTTCCCGGTTGTACAAGGGTGCAAAATGTGTGTCGATTCATAGTTGACATGGCTGGGTTCTCAGCAATGCGATAACCCATCGTTATGATTCAGCCACCCTAATAAAAATAACCATAAAAGAGAGCTTAACGACGTGTTCGGGGAATCGTCCAAACCAGTTGTGGGATAGTTTACCCATCCGGGATACAGTTAGTTGATGGTATTTGTTTATTAGGGCACCAATCGAAAGATATGGCTATCTAATTTTATTTTGAATAGATAGAAAACCAATTGGACCTGTGGTTGCCCGAGCAAAGTTAGAGATGAAATTGAAATCAGAATTTGCTGTTATGATGTAACTTATTTTGAATACTCCATTTGATCTCATTTTGGTTGACTTAAGGGGGTATTCCCGATCTTTTTTTTTTCAAAAAATCAAATTTTTTTTTCACGTTTTTTTGTACTTTAGACTATATACTTTCATCCCCCCAAACCGTTTTCTGATCAGCGAATTCGGTGTCCAGGCATAGCTGACTAATGGTAAGAACCCCCAAAATGGTTTTAACTAAAGTCAAAACTTTAAACGCGTTTTTCTCGAAACCACATTTTTTTATCGGTCGAAGATTTTTCTCAGAAACTATTAGAGATATCGACTTGAATCTTTGCGCATTTTGTTCCTTATTAAATTCTTTGGAGCTTCTCCCACTTTCAGCCAAAAATATTAACATTTAACATTGTTTGAAGCACCTTAAAGCTGCAAAAAAGCGGGCTAAAAATCGCCTGTTTTTTCATATGGCCGCCATTTTGTTAATTTGCAAGATTTTTTGCTGCCAACGGGAGAAGCTCCAGAGAATCTTATGCAGATTATTAATTTCATCACGAAATCTGTTTCAGATGAAGCCGTTCCAGAGAAAAGTCTTCGCCCGTCCAGGCGTTTTCGGCGAACAGGGGTCTGTTTGCCGCCATTTTGTGACGTCAATAATGTCTTTTTTTGTGTCGAAAAAAAATTATTTGTAAACTTTAATGTTCAATAAACAAGAATCCCAAAGAGTTAGGCGCATTACTATTCATTTTCCTTGAAAAAAAAATAATTGAAAAACAGGCCGAAAAAAGGCAAAAGATTGGGAATACCCCTTAACGGTTAACACAGCAAAAATGAGAGCAAAATTTCACACTGTTGAATCAAACGGAAAACTAATTCTGCTTTCAATGAAATCAATTTGATTACTGATTTTGCATTCATAATGTTTGACTGAATACGGGCCTGTCGTAAATGGTTAGCATCCATGCTTCTCACGCTGAAAGATTTGAGCTCAAATGTCACCTCGGGCTAGTCACGAATGACCTAAAATGTGTTAAACAAAACAAATAAACAAACGTTCGTTCAACGACAGATGAACTTAAATCAAATTTTAAACAATAAATTAACAGCAGAACTTCAAGTTAAGTTGCTTTGATTTAAAAAGTCTTGACTGCATAATGAAAGCACAATATGATATCAGACTTCTGTCGCGACAATTGAAAGTAAGTAGTAGTAAAATTCTTCTTTATTTTTGATTTGTTATGTGGTTTACAATTGCTAATACAGGACAAGAGGTTAGCCAGAAGGGCTCTTCATCTTTGGTGCACTTTTTGATTTTGTGTTGTACATGTTGTGTTTTACTGTGTAATGTTTTTCAAATTTCTTCTTGTGAAGTAGTTTGTTTGGATGTTTTCATTTGTTATTCTACCTACTTAACCTAATTTAACCTAACGTGCCAGATCCCTGACGATCTGTTGGTTGGATCGCCTACAGCAATCTCTGAACCTTGCGATGGAGGCAGCTCTCCGTAACTCTAGTGTCTGAAGACCAGCCAGGCGGTGGACCTCAGAGTTTCTAGTCCGCGGTGGACTGTTGAGGATCATTCTCAGGATCTTGTTCTGGATCCTTTGAAGTTTAAGATGGTGGCTTTTTGCGCAACTTTCCCAGATTGGCATTCCGTATTCTATTACGGGAAGGATGATTTGTTTGTAGACAGCAAGCCTATTTTCCAGGGACAGGGTAGACCTCCTGTTGATGAGTGGATACAACGATCTTATCAAGATGTTGCACTTGGTTTTGGTTTTGTCAACGTGCTCCCTGAAAAGAAGCTTGCTGTCTAATGTTAGCCCGAGGTACACGACCTCTTTGGACCATGCCACCACTGAGCCGTTTAAGCAGATTTTGAGATTTTGAGTGTGGAAAGATGATGACCTGGGTCTTTGCCGCGTTGATACGGATCTTCCAGGTGTTGAAATATTCAGACAGGACGTCCAGGCCTCTCTGAAGTTTGGCAGTCAGAGCTCCGATGACCCTACCCTTGTAGACGATGGATGTGTCATCTGCGAACAGAGACAACGATCCACCATCAGGGAGAGCCGGCATATCGGAGGTGAACAGGTTGAATAGAATGGGGCCAAGGATGCTTCCTTGTGGAACTCTGGCACCGATGTTGAAAGCATCCGATGTGATGCTATTCAGAGAGACTCGGAACGTCCTGTCCGATGGATAGTTGTTTATTATCTTCACTAGGAAGATTGGAAGACCGTACTGCTGCAATTTGAACACTAGGCCTTCATGCCAGACATTGTCGAACGCTTTTTCAACGTCCAACAACGCCATGGCAGATGTTTTTGAAACAGACTTGTTCCGTCTCAGAATGTTTGTCACTCGAGTCAGCTGGTGGACGGTCGAACGGCCTTTCCGAAAACCAAACTGTTCCTCGAGTAAGATGTTGTTTTGTTCGGCAGATGTTAGGAGCTGGTGGTAGACTGCTCTTTCGAACAGTTTTGATAACCCTGAGAGAAGGTTGATTGGTCGATAACTTGAAGGTGAGGACGGATCCTTCCCAGGTTTCCGGATGGGTATGACTTTAGCTGACTTCCAACACGAGGGGAAGTAGCCAAGTCTGATGGTTGTAGAATCTGGAACTCAAGTGTTTGAGTTCCAGATTCAGGATGTTGTCGAAACCTGAGGCCTTCATGTTTTTAGATGATTTGATATAGGCCAACAGTTTGTCAGCCGTAATCTCGGATTCCTCTGGAAAAATGTTAGGAATCTGATGAAGATTGGTTGCTTTTTCAGCAACCTCAGATTCATGAGGGCTGACGATGTTTTGTCCGAGATTATGGGAGCTGACGAAATGTTGACCTATCGCAACAGCCTTCTCTTCAGGAGTTATCAGATGAACCACTGGGTCGCCAGGACGATCCAGTGGGGTCAGTGGTGGAATGGGCATGGGTTTGTTTTTAAGAATTTTCGTTAGTTTCCAGAAGGGCTTTGCACAATCTGGGAGTGAGCGGATTTTGTTAGCAAAATCTTGATTTCTGAGGTCCACCATCCTGGCTTGGATGGTTTTTGTAAGACGATTGCAATGGGTCTTCAAGACACGCAAACCAGAACGCTGGTATTGCCTTCGGATGGAGTTACGGAGTCTGATGAGATCTTTGGTAATTCTATCAAGGTTCAGAGTATTGCTCACCTGTCTGGATACTGGCAAGTGTTGGTCCCTGGCCCGGGATATCGCCTCCTCGATGGAACGCAGACACCGGTCAACGTCTTCGGGCGTCTCCGGAAGGACACCGTAGTCGACAGTGGAGTCGACACAGTGTTGGAACTGCTCCCAGCTGACACGATGGTAGTTGCGTCGGGAAGCTTGGAATCGGTTGACAGATGAGTATACTTCAGCCACCACCGGATAGTGGTCCGAACTCAGCTCCTGATGGGTCACAGGTAGCGAGATGTTGTCTCCCATGTTGCTGATGAGGATGTCAATGGTGGAGTGAACGCCAGACCGGCTCAACCGGGTGGGAGAGTCCGGTGCTAATATGGTGTAGCGAGCCTCTTGCAGGTCGTCGTTGAGGATGGTGCCGTTTTGGTTGCGTCGACTATTGCCCCAAGCCTGGTGTTTGGCGTTCAGGTCGCCAGTAATGATGTACTTTTCGCGCCGTCGGGTTAGTTTGATGATGTCCCTCCGCAGGTCTGCTGCCGACCCGTCCCT